CGTGCTACAATTTTTTATCAATTCAACATAGTTGTCGAAAGAACGATATCGACGCTTGATTTAAGTTTATTGCCAGGTCAAAGTATTCTAGTAGATTATATCAGAATGGTCAAACATTATTTATTACAAAAGAGAAAATTTGCATGGCTCGAAGGGTCATTATCAAAAACTGAGCATGAGTCTATTTCTGAACTACCTGAAGTCAAATTTGATACAATTAAAGCTAGTAGTGATGATAATGAAGGAAAGAATACGATATTCAATCAAGCATTTGAACAGTTACATGAAAATGCTCATGTCATATTTCGATTAAGTAATGAACGTTTGTGGCGGGCAACATATCTTGAAATGCACAGCATTGATCAAGGTGGACCTTATCGTGATTCAATAACAGCTATTTGTTCGGATATATGTAGCACACGTTTATCATTGTTTATTTTATGTCCAAATGGACAAACGAATACAGGATTGAATCGTGATTGTTGGATTCCAAATATTTTTCCGCCGAATAAACCAATTTCAAATAAATTCAAAAAACAATATCAATTCATTGGACAATTGATGGGTATGGCTATTCGTAAGAAACATTATTTGAATTTAAAATTTCCAATTTTACTATGGAAACAATTAGTAGGCGAAGATATAACTATGAAAGATATTGAAGCAATTGATATACAAAGTTTTGCAATTATTAAAGAAATGGAAATTAATATTGAACAGAATCAATCGATCGATATCGACAGCGATATTAATTATTTATGTACTAGTATTATGAGTGAACTTCGATTTGATGTTATCAGTTCATCTGGACAAACCTATGAACTTATTCCTGGTGGTCAAGATATTTCGATTACTCCAAGAAATTTTCCAGAATACTGTACGCGTTATCGTGAATATCGACTGAATGAATTTCATCGACAAATTGAGTTCATCCGACAAGGCTTATGTAGCGTTATTCCATATGATTTTTTGACATTGTTTACAGCTACTGAACTTGAAGAAGCCGTATGTGGAAAAAGTGAAGTTGATGTGTTACTATTGAAACGGAATACAATTTATCGAGGTGCTTATGACGAAAATTCATCGCATATTCAACGATTTTGGACAGTTCTCACTGAAATGTTCGATGAAGCACAAAAGAAATTATTTCTGATATTCGTTTGGGGACGAAGTACTTTGCCAAGGTTAGATAAAGATTTTACATCGAAATTTATAATTCAAACAATTTCTCGCGATGATAATCATGAGCCGGATCAAATGCTTCCAAGTGAGTCATGTTTTTGTGTCATAATCTTGCTTGCAATTTTTACGTATATGTTTTTTAATAAACAACTGATTAGATAAAGTAGAAATGTTCAGGCAAAATAGATCAATTATTGTCATTTCGTGAATTTCTCTTTAGGAATATGAGTTCACATAAATGAAATATCAAGTCAACTATCATTCAATGCATCCATGAATTTTAATTGTTCTTTTTTTGGATGTGATGTTGACTTGTTTACATGGATCTCAGAGCTTTAGGATTTGAAATATTGATGATAATCAAAACTTTGAGAACATATGCAAATACTGACTATTGTAGAACGTTCGATTTAATCTTTGTTCAATGTAGAAAAAAAAATGATTTCTTTATGGACTTTTGCGATATCACATTAGGTATTCACGACAATAAAAATTCTAATGAAATAGCTTTTAATCAAAGTTGAAGTGGCTTTGTGTTTCTCTTTGTTTGAGAAAAGTCTGCAATTTTCAGTATTTGACTTGAAATTCTGAGACAAAAATTCAATTTTGTTTTGAAATCTGTACTTAAATTATGGTCTATACTATGGAATGCAAGTTGTTTTTTGTCATATCGTTACGACTTGCAACAAGTGTGACTGTGCTTCGAGTTCAATATATTTTCAAAAGTTTTCTTTTATGGAAAGTCACAATTCTCATTTTAATCGATTTCTTAGATTTTGATTTCTAAAAAAACAAGATTTAGAACATTTATGACTACAATTTAGTCACATGAATACAAAAGCTGATTGAAAACAGTGACTCATAAAATGGAACTTTTGTCCCTTTGAACTTTTCAAAGCCATACTAGACATTAATGTTAGATTTATCGAAGAAATTTACAAAAAATATAGTTTAGAACTTAGAAGTGTAATTGAGGGTTCGAAGAATGGGACTGTAGTAAAAGCTTCCAC